GTTGAAAAAGACATTGAGAGTGAAGAAAATGAAATTGGAGTTAAAAAGATTGAAAGTGTGGTTGAAAAACTTGGAAGAGAAAAGAAAGAAAGTCAAAAATAAGATGAGAAGGAAATTTCATCTTACAATAACCTTTCTTTTCCTCATAGTCTTGGTTTATCATTGCATAATCATGATAACATTTCAAAGGACATTCCAAACTCATAACCAGTCCTGGAGATAATCAAACATCAACCATGCCTAGATTATATTTTAAGAGAAGATCCAATGAAGTTTTTCATCATCAAAGACATCAAGCAACAACCACTAATCAAGATCATCAAGCATCCTCCATGGTTTGATATTCCCATTTCATTTGTTATCAATTTCTCTACTTCTAATATTGATTCATTTTTTAGTGGGATGATTTGAATGTAAAGAGTTGACACCAAGAATGATTCGATAAAGGATGACAAAGAAGACAAAGAGATAAAGAATATAACATTTCCCACTGAAAGACACTTTTCAAATTCCAATAAATCCAAAACAGTATGCATCACACGTGAGACTTTAGAAGTTGGTAAGCCACTACGAGGAATTCAAAAAGACTTCTCCATCTATGGATAAGACTTTTTTTTCTTAATAATTAAGACAATTTCTACAACGATGTTTGCAATTTGGAGATGAATTTTTCTCAAGGGCAAGGAATGAAATTGAATTATTCTACTAATGTTAAAGATTCTTTCTTATTTTCCAATGAATTCTATTCTTTTATCGATATTTTAGATTTGATGACGAATCACCTTAAAGAGGGAGGGAATCATGTGATCCCAGCTATACTCCTTACATCATTTTCTACATTCTCCCTAAGACCGTTTGATCGAGGTAACTTGTTTACATTAAAAAATCTTCAGTAAGATTATTTAAGTTTAATATGGTAATTCCAATCCTTGTTTAGATTTCTGAAAGCCTTTTTCAATCCAAAAAAAGAACATCTACCATCATACTCAAGGCTGGGAGCTGAAGAAGGAACAACCGTGTTTAAGGGAGGATTTTATCTTTTACTTGCATGAATTTGCATGAGAATTTAAAATTTTGCATAAAATTCATTTCATTTAATAAGTGTGTTGTTCATTTAAGCATGCATTTCATTTAAATCATCTAGTTCATTTAGGTGATTACTTTATTTATGCATTTAGATCATTTAGTAAGCTACTACATTCATGCATCTAGTTCATTTAATAAAGATAGTTCATTATTTAAACTAGTCCATTAATCAAACTAGTTCATTTAATAAACTAACTCTTAATTGTTTCATGAATGTTTTCAATTAAAGATTGAATAAAGTTCACCTTTGTTTTAGGTGCATGAGAGAAGTTGAACGGTTTCATCATATGCAACAATATCAGTTAGTATGTCTTCCAATTATGGATGTGATACAGACGTTTTTGATTCCATAAATCAATTGGGAATTATTCCTCTATCTCTTATCTTTCCATCTCCTTTTGAATCACCTCAATTCAATATTGGGATCTTGAGATATGATCCATTTATTGAAGACAATGCAGGCTGAAATTTTGTTACGGGAATTTTATGCATGAAGATTTGGATCAGTTTGAGCCAAGGAAGTGTCTTTTCAACTTCAATCAAGTCACAAGACATTGAAGAAAATATTATCAACTACTTAATGACTTTCAATCAAAATATTATCTCCCAGCGTCATGTTTTCACACATTTGCAAGAAAATTTTTGACTAAAGCGTAAAAGGGAATTTCATTTTGTTTCGTCAGAACCAACAAAGTTGAATTATTTATGGATAGGAAATGAAGAGCAAAATGGGTTTATAAACAAGTTTTTTACCACTGATGGCGGACGGAAAATTGCCCAGTTGAAGATGATGATGAAGGAGAGTTCTTTGGACCAAAGAGATGATCCAAAGATGATGATTGTTATGTATGGCTCATAAAAAGTCTCGTTGTGGGGTTACGAATTATGTGGGTTGGGGGTGTGGGGGCGCAGCCCCCGCGGTACGGTACAGGGTTGATTTTGTAATTATGTACCAGGGTTTTCTATTATAAATAGAGATGTAACCTAGACCTAAAATATAATTGAATAAAAACTTCTAGCGCCGCCTAGGCACCGAGGACGTAAGCACATTGCCGAACCTCGTAAAATTCTCGTGTTCTTTTGTTTTCTTTACCCGTTTTCGTCAACAATGATGAAGAAGAACCACTCACTTGCCTTTTGTTTTCCATGCCAGAAAAATGTTAAACTTTCTTTTTCTTTTTTTGGGTTAATAAAAAAAAATCTTTTTCTGTCAACCAACGAACAAAACTACTCTTAGACATATACGTATATCTCTTAAAGCAAGAAACGACCCTCAAAGAAAGAGACCAAACGAAAGAAGAGGTGCCTGGCAATGTCAGGCCAGGGGATAAGATTTTCTCTCTTTTTTTCCTAAGAAAACAATGCAAACAAACCAAAAAGATAAAAAATAATGGAGATTGCAACAGATGTAAGGAGAAGAAGCTAAGCTAAGGAAAGCAAAGGAGAGTGAGAGAGAAAGCTGAGAGCACGTGAAGACTTTGCAGTGATGTAGAGATGTTTTATATGGCAAACCATCCGACCCTATTTATAAATCCAAAAAGGGGATGTCATTGTTTCTGCGTTCTTTTCCTTGGGTTTTTAATGAAATTGGGATGACGAAACTTCTATCAGGATTAAGATGATGTAAGAGTTTTAGAAAACAAAAGGATATTTTCTTTATGTTATTTCTTTAAATTGATCAAAATATTATCAAACAATTCTTTTAACATAGTTTTCTAATTCACAACTGTATGATTTAAATTTTGAATATTATTCAAATATCTAATATTTCATCTCCCTAAACTAACTAATATTAAAAAATATCAGTTTTATGTTTATATTAATTTTATTCTTAAATAACTAATTTTTTAATAATAAAATATTTTTTTATGTTTTAAAAAATAATGAGATACATTATTTTCTTGACGCATAGCAGTAATTTTTAACATAATTTTAATATAAATATTAACAAGTATTGGTCTTCTGGTAACACATTTTAGTTTTAGGTTTTACGTAGTATAAAGTATGAAAATGAATAATGATAAAAACATTAAATAACTGGATATGAATTATAATAATTTGATTAATAATTTTTTCATCTTTTATACTTCACAAAGCTAATAAATAAATCTCAAATGATATTAGGGAGATAAAACATATTCAAACGTTAAAAAAATATTATTAAAAAAGAAAATCATAAATATTAAATATAAAGCATAAAATAGCATACTTAATCTTCTTAGTATACATTATACTCTTTAGATAAAATGGCATTTTATTTAAAGGCTAAAAAAATCGTATGTGAATTCATTAAATATTTATGTCACGTTTATTAAAAATATTATTTATAGATTAAAAATATTATTTATAGTTTTTAAAATTTTAAAAACAAATGGCCATGGATGCATTGTACAACGCCAAAACCAAGTTGTAGACTTTCATTCGATTGAAATCCAGCCCTTGTTTGCCGTATGTCTCCTCCGGTACTTCTTAACACTGCGTTTTGGATTATTGAATTTTTATCGAGAAGATAATATGAGCGAGAAAATAACATATAATTTCTAGATAGGGTTTTCATTTATTATATACACATATACATGTGACAAGTTTTAGTTGAACCTGAATACGAATAAAGTATTTTTATTTTAAAATTATTAGATATAGATAATGATCAATAAATTAAAATGTTTAATATTGTAGTGATATATTATTTTTAGGGTAAACTACATATTTGGTACTCCATCTTTTCATGTATTTTTTGTTTTGGTATCTCAACTATTTATTTAACAAAATCATATATAACATTACGTTTTGATTCTATTTTGGCACCTCGACGTTAATTTTGATCATTAACTTAAAGGAGATGACTATATAATTTGATACAATAATAGTTGTAGTCCCTAAAAGTTATATATTAAATAAATTTGGTCTTAGTTTAGAAGAATTAAATAAATATTTCATATTAGAATAACATATCAATTTAGTCCTCACTTTAGTTTGAAATAATTTAATGATTTAATAAATTGATTGAATGCATATAAAAACAAGAACCTAAGACATATATAAAGACAAGATATTATAAAGATTGGAAATGCATTTAATTTGAACCTAAAAGAAATCATTTGGATTCTTGTTCCATTTTGTTATCGAAGAACACTTGTTGTATTCATTTATAATTCTTTTTTCAGTATTCTATTTGTTCACACTTGTTTTACTCGTTTATAATTCTTTTTTCAGTGTTCTATTTGTTCTTAAATTATGCAAATATATTCTTTGTGAAGTTTTTCTAAGTTTGTTAATTGCAATTTTATTTGGAGGGAATGTCTCAAGACTTTGACATAAAAGTCTTAAGGAAATTTGTATGGTTACATCTTATCCTTAAATGTCAATGCAAATTAGTGCATTTATGAAAATTTTTAGTATGAATAATTAAGATAATGAATGTAAACTTTATTCAAAAAAATTGAACCACTATAAATTATTTTGTCATTATTTTTAATTTTCTGGAGGTTTTCACACAAAAAATTTAGTAGCTGCCAATTTACCCTCTCTTGATTATTTTATTGGATCGATTCACTCAATAATTTATGTACGTGATCAACTCCTTGTTTCCGTCTTCCTTGGCAGAAACGTGTTGATTTGCTTTTGGGCTCATCTCCTTAAATTCTCTTTTTCTCAAATTTTTTCATCTTTCCCTGGTCATCATCTTAAACCCCTAATTCATCGTCTGAAATCCCTAGCTCATCTCTCAAGATCACTACAAAATATTTGTATTTCAACTCTAAAAGGTTTTCAGTAATGTTAATAATGAGGAAATTCATGTTTCTCAACAATTGATATGTTGGTGGATTTTGAACTTATTGCATGCTATGCTGTCAGCTTATCGTGAAAATAATTTTTTATGCCTCTTGAGATAAGCAAGTAGTGGAATTATAATGGCTTTATCAAGCACTAACCGCCACTGGCTTAAAATAACCGGATTATTCTTAAATACATGTTTTGAGAGTAGTAGGTGCTGCAATAAGCTAAACATTTCGTGACCTAGTGCTATCTCAACTACAGTTTGTGGGGTTCCACATGTATCACCCAAAAAAAATATATCCTTTTTACTTGCTTGGTTTCACTATAAATTTCCAACTCAGCAAGTGTTTTATGCATATCCAATATCTAAGAACATGAAGCTCGTTTACTGCTTTCTGGTTTTTCTTGCTATTTCAGGCATTTCCCAGCTTAATGTGGCAGAAGGAGCAGGTGAATGTGGGAAATCATCACCTGATAGGGAAGCCTGGAAGTTAGCTCCATGTGCAATGGCTGCACAAGATACTAACGCTCCCGTTTCCAGCAGTTGCTGCCAACAGGTGAAAAAAATAGGCCAGAACCCGCCATGTCTATGCGCTGTCATGCTTTCCAACACGGCTAAAAATTCGGGAATCAAGCCGGAAATCGCCATCACCATTCCGAAACGCTGCAACATTGCTGATCGTCCTGTTGGTTACCAATGTGGAGGCATTCTTTTTTTCTCTCTCTCTTTGCAATATCATCATTTACAGAGTCTCCAAGTTTCGAGTCTCGTTTTCCTTAATTTGCGTAACTCAAAACTGGTTTTTGCGTATTGCAGCTTACACTCTGCCATGAGTACGATGACAAAAAGTCACGGTTCCCGATGTTGCTTGTGTGCTTACTCGTAGTTCCGTGCTTGCTGGAATTTGTGCTTTCCATTAACCAGTTCATATAGCTGATGAATTGAAATGTTCAATCCAGCTATTTGAATGCTAAATAAAAGCCTATTTTTAGTTATCTTATTGCACAATCCTTAAAAACCCTTAAAAGTTTCATGGTTCCCCAATGCATATACCATACTATGGAAACTAATTTCCAATCAAATGACTTTAAATGGAGTTTAATTCAACTAAATAACTTAAAATTCCACAAATAATTGGATATGTGAGATTTAGATAATCATATATTTGAATTCAGGTGGAAGTTTTGAACACGGATATTCATCTTAACATATATTTTTATATTCATGCTCGGATATGATTCGAACATTGGAAGAAAAAGGAAGAATGGGCTAAAGTATGTGATCTTTCCCTTTCTGCAATAAAATAAAGTCATAATATAAAAATTAACCCTCAATTTTTATCAAATTTTTTATTTTGACCCTTATTTTCTTTAACATTTTAGTTCTAATGTTTTATTTGAGACAAAAAGGTCCCTCGGTGGATGAAAAGTGTTAGTTAACACATGATTATTGCTCTAAAAAAGGGGGTTTTACCCTAAAATGAAATATTAGCGGATCAAAATGCTGTAGAAAAAAATAAGAGTCAAAGTAAATATTTAATCAAATGTTAGGGGACTTTGCCTTAAAATAAACTGTTGGAAGTCAAAATGGTCCAAAAAATAGAGATCAAAATGACTATTTTAAAAAATCTTGGGGTTATAGAAAACTTCAATTTATATCAGCTTACAAGAGGATACTTGTTCAAGTGGAAGAGTTGAAACTAAAAGAACCCAAAATTCTTCCGTAAAGTCCTAAGCTCTATACATATATTCTACCGTTCTGCCAGGATATACCTACCAGCTTATTTTCAATAGTAGTAATAATAAGATTGATTATGCAACCACCCCATTTTCCTGCAAAACAAATCCATAAACATAATTTCAATCACTTAGATTCGAAGGAAATATGTAAAGAAAAGAGGCAGTGTATGTATGATATGCAAAATAAATCCATAAACATATTTTCAAAGTGGTAATGATATAAATGATAAAGGAGAGCCATCAAACTCATATTGCATATATCTATCTACCTTAAAAGAGTATTGGATTGAAATTTTGGATTAAGATGTTAGTAATAAAGTAAGCGTGCAAAAACAAAGAAGAATGATTAAAGACACTGCAATAGTTTCATTTTTATGGACTGAGAACAATTGTTTATTATCACCAAAAAATCTAAAGCTTTTTCATACCCTTCCACCAATTTCCTCTTGAAGCAGAATCACTAGAATCGTTTCCATTACGATCATCATGTCCCCCATCCAATTTGAACTGTGAATACAGATTGTAAGAAGATGAGAAATCCCTGGTAACTTAGTATGCAGATAAAGCAGGGTATGTTTCTTACATGAGTGCTGAAACCAAGAGAATTTTTGAAAGATCATATCTTTATAATAGTTTTAAACATAGTAATATTCTATAGTGTAAGTTATGCTCACATATGGGGGAGACTGGGTGGTTTTGTTCCTTGGAGAATAATTTTCTTGGCCTCCATAGTAGATAGATGAGCCGAGATAGGAAAGTTCCACAGTTTCATTGTGATAAATGGAACAATTTTTGTCTTTATTCCTTGTGCCACTGCTTTGTCCCTTGCTGTAATCAGTAGTATGATCTGAGACATATGCAAGATTCATTTTATATTCTCTCACGCCATTACTTGCTTCAGAATCTAGCCTAATTATTGTTATTAAAACTTATTATAGAATTTCATTAGAGCAGAAAAAGGCAACAGGAAAGGCATAATCCTTAAAGAAAAAATTATGTGAGAAGGGATGAGAAACCTGGACTTCCAAATCTGCCATGATAGGCTAAACCCTGATTATTCCAAGGCCCCCAAACTCCAGAGTGAGTGGAGTCCCTCCCTTGCACCTTAAATCAGAAACAGAATGTAGAATGTGATCATTAACCATGCACTAAAACTTGCTAGTATTGCAATATACATATAAACTTTTATCCCATATTCCTTCATTTTCATTAACAAAACACTGCAAATTTTAAATATTCCAAGAAAAATGGACCAGTAACTCCACTGGCTAGCATTTATCCACGAAGTGAATATAGCCAAGCACCTCTTTGCAACTTTTAAAGAATCGTTCACTTGAAATATATAAAAGTCCATGTATATATATATATATATATATATATATATATATATACATACATACTCTAAATAGTGTAGTGTTAAACAAACTTTCTCCTATATATATCAACTACTTAATGACTTTCAATCAAAATATTATCTCCCAGCGTCGTGTTTTCACACATTTGCAAGAAAATTTTTGACTAAAGCGTAAAAGGGAATTTCATTTTGTTTCGTCAGAACCAACAAAGTTGAATTATTTATGGATAGGAAATGAAGAGCAAAATGGGTTTATAAACAAGTTTTTTACCACTGATGGCGGACGGAAAATTAGGAAAATTGCCCAGTTGAAGATGATGATGAAGGAGAGTTCTTTGGACCAAAGAGATGATCCAAAGATGATGAAGATGATGATGATGAAGGAGAGTTCTTTGGACCAAAGAGATGATCCAAAGATGATGATTGTTATGTATGGCTCATAAAAAGTCTCGTTGTGGGGTTACGAATTATGTGGGTTGGGGGTGTGGGGGCGCAGCCCCCGCGGTACGGTACAGGGTTGATTTTGTAATTATGTACCAGGGTTTTCTATTATAAATAGAGATGTAACCTAGACCTAAAATATAATTGAATAAAAACTTCTAGCGCCGCCTAGGCACCGAGGACGTAAGCACATTGCCGAACCTCGTAAAATTCTCGTGTTCTTTTGTTTTCTTTACCCGTTTTCGTCAACAATGATGAAGAAGAACCACTCACTTGCCTTTTGTTTTCCATGCCAGAAAAATGTTAAACTTTCTTTTTCTTTTTTTGGGTTAATAAAAAAAATCTTTTTCTGTCAACCAACGAACAAAACTACTCTTAGACATATACGTATATCTCTTAAAGCAAGAAACGACCCTCAAAGAAAGAGACCAAACGAAAGAAGAGGTGCCTGGCAATGTCAGGCCAGGGGATAAGATTTTCTCTCTTTTTTTCCTAAGAAAACAATGCAAACAAACCAAAAAGATAAAAAATAATGGAGATTGCAACAGATGTAAGGAGAAGAAGCTAAGCTAAGGAAAGCAAAGGAGAGTGAGAGAGAAAGCTGAGAGCACGTGAAGACTTTGCAGTGATGTAGAGATGTTTTATGGCAAACCATCCGACCCTATTTATAAATCCAAAAAGGGGATGTCATTGTTTCTGCGTTCTTTTCCTTGGGTTTTTAATGAAATTGGGATGACGAAACTTCTATCAGGATTAAGATGATGTAAGAGTTTTAGAAAACAAAAGGATATTTTCTTTATGTTATTTCTTTAAATTGATCAAAATATTATCAAACAATTCTTTTAACATAGTTTTCTAATTCACAACTGTATGATTTAAATTTTGAATATTATTCAAATATCTAATATTTCATCTCCCTAAACTAACTAATATTAAAAAATATCAGTTTTATGTTTATATTAATTTTATTCTTAAATAACTAATTTTTTAATAATAAAATATTTTTTATGTTTTAAAAAATAATGAGATACATTATTTTCTTGACGCATAGCAGTAATTTTTAACATAATTTTAATATAAATATTAACAAGTATTGGTCTTCTGGTAACACATTTTAGTTTTAGGTTTTACGTAGTATAAAGTATGAAAATGAATAATGATAAAAATATTAAATAACTGGATATGAATTATAATAATTTGATTAATAATTTTTTCATCTTTTATACTTCACAAAGCTAATAAATAAATCTCAAATGATATTAGGGAGATAAAACATATTCAAACGTTAAAAAAATATTATTAAAAAAGAAAATCATAAATATTAAATATAAAGCATAAAATAGCATACTTAATCTTCTTAGTATACATTATACTCTTTAGATAAAATGGCATTTTATTTAAAGGCTAAAAAAAATCGTATGTGAATTCATTAAATATTTATGTCACGTTTATTAAAAATATTATTTATAGATTAAAAATATTATTTATAGTTTTTAAAATTTTAAAAACAAATGGCCATGGATGCATTGTACAACGCCAAAACCAAGTTGTAGACTTTCATTCGATTGAAATCCAGCCCTTGTTTGCCGTATGTCTCCTCGGGTACTTCTTAACACTGCGTTTTGGATTATTGAATTTTTATCGAGAAGATAATATGAGCGAGAAAATAACATATAATTTCTAGATAGGGTTTTCATTTATTATATACACATATACATATGACAAGTTTTAGTTGAACCTGAATACAAATAAAGTATTTTTATTTTAAAATTATTAGATATAGATAATGATCAATAAATTAAAATGTTTAATATTGTAGTGATATATTATTTTTAGGGTAAATTACATATTTGGTACTCCATCTTTTCATGTATTTTTTGTTTTGGTATCTCAACTATTTATTTAACAAAATCATATCTAACATTACGTTTTGATTCTATTTTGGCACCTCGACGTTAATTTTGATCATTAACTTAAAGGAGATGATTATATAATTTGATACAATAATAGTTGTAGTCCCTAAAAGTTATATATTAAATAAATTTGGTCTTAGTTTAGAAGAATTAAATAAATATTTCATATTAGAATAACATATCAATTTAGTCCTCACTTTAGTTTGAAATAATTTAATGATTTAATATATTTAATCCTCCAATAAGATGATGACACATGTTAAAAATTAAGTTAATCCAATTCGAGCGAAGATATTTTTTTCTTTTAAAATTATGGAGTAAATATGGTTAAATAGCAAGTTCAAGGGTAAAATTTGTGAAAACTGAAATTTTGTAAGGACCGAACTAGGAGTTTTCCCTTTCTTTCAAAACCATGTCCTTTCTCTCGAAATCCTAGTTGCTCGGCACTTATTCCCTTCTTCTGAAAACCCACCATCGATCGCTTTTTCCTTTTCGACCATTACACACCACAAACGTGGTATTTTATGAACATTTTCCCAATTAAGGACTATTGTAACACCTTATACCCGACCACGTAGCATGACTCGTGTATTTTTAGTGCACATTAGATTTTGAAGAGAATCAGACAAATAAAACCTTAATCATGCGTACTATGGGGAACCAAATAATATAAACATACAACATACAACGCACAATAATGGATTATCAAGAAAGCATACTCGTAACAACCATAAAATCATGCATTGCAAGGTAAATGCTAATTTGCAACATAGGGGTAAAACAATAATTTATTACGTCATCATCAATGTAATGTTTAAAGCATATATTAAACGTATCAATGTTCACTATCAATTATTTAATTAGTAACATGCAAATTTTCAGGTTAATAGGACATCATTTTGGGACCTAACTGAATATGCTCAACTAAGAACCAAAATGTAAACAATTCAAAAGTGGCATATGAACAACAATCATTCAATTGACACTCTCATTATTTTATTCAATATATTAAAGGGTGACAAAGCAAGTTCTATCCAATTCTAATTTAAGCCCAAGTATTAATTAAAGTAACATATTTTTTGGACCATTTTGGACTTACAAAAACATCTTAGGGTCAAATTAAGATTTAGGGAAACTTAGAACCTTTTAATGAATCAAAATTTATCATTTTTAAAAGAGAAAACAGAGAAGGAATCAATCTTCTTCACAAGGGATCGATCCTTGCAAAAAAAATAGTAGCAAGATATCGATCTATTTTGGAAGGAATCAATCCTTTTTGGAAGGGATCGATCCATTGCACAAAGACATCGATCCTTTTCATGGAATAGTGAAGAATTTTATACGAGGATGCAAGAACAAGCTACTAAATCATCATGCAATCGATCTTAAGGTCTGTGAACATACTTGAACCACTTAGAAAACGTCAAAACACATATGTAGCATGCTTCACAAGACCGTATAACATCTCATACATGAATCAGGCATCTAAAGTCAAATATTGAATAAAAGGTCAACTTTCACACAAGTCTTCTAGTCATATTGAGCATTATATGACATTTAATTATCCTTATGAGTCTAGCATATTACATACACTTATTACGACTTCTCTAACCACACCAAACACTTACTCACAACATATAGAAACATATGATCATTTTAGGTAACATGAACAATAAGAACTCATATATAATAACATCAAAGATCAACATCTAATGTTTATTCAAGGATCCAAAGTATTAAAAAGTGATATTATTTGTTCGATTCATATCTAATATCTCAATACTCAACCTAACCCCAACATATGTTCCCACATTGCCTCAAAACTCAATGTAAGCTCACATACGCTTTATGAAAATTGAGCTTTAATTGATCACCACCGGATGCTCACTCTTTGCTCCTAAAACATCAACTAATTATCTGTAAAATGTTAATGAGAGCTAACTAGAAGCCTAGTAAATGACTAAGCATTCCTAAGTGATGTGCACACCAAGGATAAAGGAAAACCATCCTAAATGACAAGCAAAACTCACATGTTTTACCTTAATAATCATACCATAATGTCATGCCATGATGTTCATACATTATATCATAAATACTCACAAATTCTAGATTCTAAAAATGCATAACTTCATTATATTCACTACTGTAATCACTTCCACTCATACATTATTTCCGTCATGGCAAGCTACACACACATCACACAATTATTTCCAATTTAAGATCATTGGCCTTTGTTCAAAACACAACTCACTCATTGGATCAACATCCTTCATACATCTCAATTTTATTTTAGAACTCACTTAGGTCCAAAACCATAATACTCAGAGCTATGCTCAATGCTCCAACCTTACCACTTAGGCTTTTCAGAGCTAGGCTCAACGGACCAACCTTATCACTTGTAATCTCTTTCACACACATATATTTAAAACATAGATTTTTCTTTCCAATGCATGTCTTTCATATCCAAAGGTTCCATTAAGAAAAATTATCGATTAATTAATGTTCACCAAGATTAGTTTACACGAGATACATAATTTTTACACATACATTTCCAAATCAAAATTCAAAATACATATCACATTGGTTGTCACGATCAACCTTATTTGGACAACAAATACTTCACTCATCCACAGATAAGTAAGTAGTTCCACTCATCCCATATGCATATTCAATTCACTCATCAAAAAACTTACTTACCATATGATCTTAGTGTAATCTATTACCATCACATAATCCCTCATTTAACATTGATGACTTCCATCATCCAAGAATGGAAAGCCATTCACCTCAATACTGATCCAAGCATGAAATCGACCCCAAACTCTAATCAACTCATTGTTAAAAGTTGATGCACAACTTTTACCTCTTTAAATACCTAATGGAAACCTCAGGAAACCTGCTAAGACATCACCAAATCATCCTAAATAGAGTAAAAACTCTTCTACCAAATCATCCAAAATAGAGTAAAAACTCTTATCTCTAAACTCAGATGTAATAAAGTTTTTAAAGGGAAAAGAAAAGCTTTTGAAGAACGTAAGATAAAAGTGATTTTCTTCACTCCTAATATCTTAAAATCATTGATATATATAGGCTAATATTACTAGCAAAAAACAAAAGAATTCAATTGCAATTAAATTATAATTAAACTATTGTAGAGACTATAGTTAAGTAGCTATAATATCTGCAAATAGATGACCATTAATGTTGTAATAAAGCTCTAACTAAACAAAAATAATATTCGGTAAATATCTAATTCAATTTTGGATAAAGAGAAAACAAATCAATATTAAAAATGCTTTTAAATTTGAGGATTACCAACATTCCCCCACTAATGCAAAAGAATTCTTTCGTAAAAAAAGAGCATTGAAGTTAAAACACGAGAATAGAAATAACGAGATTAGCTGCTTGAGCACTAGTGATGATGAGTAATTCATATATTAGATAAGTGAACGAATCTTAAAATTTCTAAGATTAGGGTGAACTCATAACACGCAACTAACCCCTTCATCCATTGAAGTCCTTGATGTGTCTACAAATAGTATATACAATAGTATATATATGTTTAACCCTCTTTTCTCAGGATTTTAATAAGTGTTCTAGAAAAATAGCCCAACATTTTTCATAAAAGGTGGCTAATCCTTCTGATGTAAGGCTATCCACACTTCTTCAATGATCGAGAATATGACAACCTTGTTTCTCGATCTAGGAGAGACACCAAATGCCACACTTGAATTATAAGCAATATGCACAAAGATAAAGAAGATATAATTATAATGGAGTTATGAAATTAGGAATGAAAGAAAATGATAATGAAAAGATGAAAGGAAATAAAAGGTTATCAAAGTGGTTGCGGAAGTAGTGAAGTTTATGAAGAATTATCCTTTAACTGTTGATGAACTTAGCCTCCAATGGTGATGATGAATGGCTGCCTTTGATGATGATTGAAGGATGATTTAATGGTAATGAATTTTGAATGGAAATGGTGAAGGTGAATATGAGAAGGTGATGGAAGATGTAATAATGAAGGTAGTATCTTAAATAAGCCAAAGAATAAGAAAAGCTATAGAAAGCTTATCCCCTTCCTCTATAAACTTACTTAAGGGATGGTACGACTGGATTTGAACCCTCTAGTTATGAGAACTAGGAATTCTAATTATCAATGAAAGGAATTGACGACAAAAACTTAGAAAAGTTTGTTTAATCGATAAAGTTTTAAAGAGCTTGCAAGAGAGAATAATCTTACAAAACAATGTATTAAAGTAAGTTGTGTGATACAAATGAAATGTAAAAGCCTATTTATAGGCTAGCAAGGGGTTTAGCCGAATAATTAGATGATGTTTCAACGATGCTAGCTAACTTTACAAAGCATTACAATGCATTGAATGGTTACTTAGGTGTTGGTTCATGTTGCAACCCACTTTTGGTGTTTAATGACATGTTTGTTCACATTGTCGCCCATGTTGTTGAGCTTCATGCTTTGGTCAAATATCCTCCTTGGTGTTCCTCGTGCCTCTTCATGATTTAAGCATCGTTTGGCCGAAATAACTTCACCAATGCACGCCTCCCTTAAATGGTTACCTTCAATGGCAACACCTTTCACGAAAGGTCGTGATGCTTGGATGGAACCTCTTCATGAAATGGTATATTGCAAGGTGATTGAGTTGATGATTACCTGGTTGTTGATGCTCCTTGATTTGTTGATTCATTTTACATCACCTCCTGAAAAGGCATGAACTGAAACGGCACCAATTCACGAAAAGGCAAGATTTAAGAAAAATGAATTTTCACAAAATTAATGTCGTTTGGCCATAGATTATGTCTATTCAGGTTCCAATATGAATTGAAGTCTTCTTCTAGCTCAAATATTTAGCTCAATCTAGCTATGATCTCACTTGGTAACAGTTGGGAACAGACAACTTTTCACCATTTGTTCGTCATGCTCTCTTGAGTAATCATATGTAAGTTTTCCTAGATCCTTCTCCTTAGTTAAGCTCAAATTCTTCTCTCAAGTTGTTGTATATGTTGGTTCCTACAAAAGACATAAAAAGCTTATATTAAAATATAACTTAAGTACTTAATCATATAATTTAAAGATGTGGTGCATATAACATATATTTTGTGTACTTTATTTAATGATGTATGTAAATATTATATGCTATACGATAGGTTATATATATTATAACATATAGTATAATGTTTAAAGAATAGATTAATATATATGTAATATGATGTAGCTTTGTGAGTTGTAAAATAAGGAAAAGACAAATAAAAGGGATAGAGACGACTCCCTCAAGCCACCATGGTGAGGACGCAAAGAAGAAAAGAAGTAGGCTGGTCCATATCACATCATCCCTCATTCTTTGAAGCGATTTGTCTTCAATCATTACTTTCCAAACTCACAAACTTCTTCCCAAGAGCTTATGTCTTCTTGAACATCTTTTGGAGGGTTTCTTTCAGAAAATTCTTTAGTACTAGGCCTTTCATTGGATAGATATGATTGCATGCTAATAGATACATTTCCTTAAGAACCTTCCTCAAAAGACACCTCCTTTGGTAATTTCTCGTACTTAGCCTTAAAAGATGAGAATGGTTCACTTACTTGGTTTCCCTTGATGAAAAGACTCTCATTGTTCATGTCTCTACGAACATCAATAGTTATGTTGTTTGGAATCAACACATCTCTTAGTTTAACAATTCAATCCTTGGGTAAGGCCACGTCCTTTGGTGTATCAATGTGTCTTTTGGTGATTGATCTTGTTTCTTGTATCACTCCTTGACCCAACATATCATGTTCTTTAAAAATGGTATATAACTCTTCAGCTCCACTCCTTGAATCATCATACTAGTTTGTTAAGAGTATTAACCTTTGAAATCTCTTGAAATGCATGAGTTTAATGAACCACTCAATCTCACTATGCCAAAGGATCTTGCCATCAACATTTGGTGGGATAATACCATGCATACGAATTTAATTCTTGCAAATTAAATCACAGTTAGAAAATGATAAATTATAAAAAAAATGAATGAAAATATCAAACCAAGGTGGATGTTTAATGGGAGTTGGCTACTGAGTTCTTTTAAGGATTGGCAGTGCACTTGGAATGTCAACGAACACAACTCTGGCACTTCAAGTGACGCTTCTTTTGGAACTTCAAATGGTATAACCTTCGAAACATCAAGAGACATGTCGTGAGGATCACAAAAAGTCTCGCTTATTGGTTCTTCTAAGGTCACATCTTTTAGTCCTCCAAAAGTCATGATTCTTGAATCATCTCCTCAAAAAGATACATCTCTTGAATTATCTTACAAAACAACAGGAATAACAGATGAAAGAGTAAGTTTAGTTAAAATATGTTATTCGCTCGCCTCTTTATTTCCAAATCCATCCCTTTCAACTCTCTCATCTTCAACTCCAATGTATTCTTCATCCACTCTTTGATTCTCACCATTTTTAATTTCAACGTTTTGTTCAATTTCAAAATTATTTCCTTCATTCTAACTATCTTCAAAATGTTCACCTTCATTACTCCTTCATTGCTTCAGTGCTCCTTTTCATATGAGTTTTATGTTCATTCACTTGGCTAGGAGATAATGGAGTCAAGATGATCTTTTTGTCATTATGGATGAAAGAATATCGGTTTGTAAACCTATCATGGATCACTCGTTTATCGAATTCCCATGGTCTTCCCAAGAGTATATATCTGACATCCATTGGTACAACATCACAGAGAACTTCGTCTCGGTATTTACTAATGGAAAACAGAATGACAACTTGCTTTGTGACTTTCACTTCTCCTCCATAATTTAGCCATTGAAGTTTATAAGGATTCAGATGTTTAGATGTCTTCAAGCCAAGTTTCTCCACCATAAGAGTACTAGCAACGTTTGTACAACTTCCTCCATCGATGATCATGAAACAAACTTTCTTATTTACATGACAACATGTACGGAAGATGTTTTCTCTTTGATCATCCTCTATGGTTTAAGTGCTTAAAGCCTTTTTAATAACAAGTACTTGTCTTGAAACTATAGGAAAATCAAGCAACTCGTGTGACATGTTTAGTGAAATAAATAAAATAAATTGAAAACTTCACGCGTGCTCACAAAGGCTCACTTGGTCACTCGAAAGAAAATTTAGATTTCACTCCACTCAAGCTCGTGTTTGCACTCGGGGATATTTTTCTTGGCTTTTTTAGTCCCCCCTTATATTCTCACCCTCTTTGTTTCCTTTTTCCTCTCAATTATCTCTTCTTGGGTAGAGAACTAACTCAAGATCGAGCAAGTTTCTTTTGTTTGGTGCGTCAACTACAAGATGGTTAATATGGAATGGTAAAGATGAAATAAGTAAAGAAAGAAAAAGGTGATTAATAAGTAGTAATGAAAAAAAGATGATGATTGACTTAGAGAGAAAGTTGAAGATGACTTATAACGTAAGATGCAACACTTACTATCTTCCTTCACAAAAAACAACAAGGATGCCTCCTTCAAGTTGTTGATGTTGGAAGATTGTAGTGTGCTTCCTTTTGAACGTGGATTACAACTTTTCTTTTGATGGAAATTGATTTGAATTCCTTATTTTTTTTGCTTTTCTTTTTGTACTCCTTATTTGATGTAGGAGTCTATTTCTTTTTTTTTGTTTTACTTCTTTTTTTGTTGCAGCACTTTGGCACTTGAATGTCAAACCAATGAAGCTTTGATTACCACATGATGTAAGCCTATCCATGCTTATTCAATGATGGAGAAGATGACAACCTTGTTGTTTCCTGATCTAGGAGAGACACCAAATGCTATACTTGAATTATAAGCAATTTGCACAAAGATAAAGAAGATATAATTATAATGGAGTTATGAAATTAGGAAACAAATGAAATGATAATGAAAAGATGAATGGAAATAAAAGGTTATCAATGTGGTTGCAGAAGTAGTGAAGTTGATAAAGAATTATCCTTTAATTATTGATTAACTTAGCCTCCAATGGTGATGATGGACATCTGCCTTTGATAATGATTGAGTAATGCTTTAATGGTAATGAATTATTAATGGAAATGGTGAAGGTGAAGATGAGAAGGAGATTGAAGATGGAATAATGAAGGTAGTATCTTAAATAAGCTAAAGAAGATGAAGAAAAGCTATAGAAAACTTATCCCCGTTCTCTATAAACTTACTTAAGGGATGGTATGGTCGGATTTGAGCCCTCTACTTATGAGAACTAGGAATTCTAAGTATCAATGAATGGGATTGACATCACAAACTTAGAAAAGTTTACTTAATCGATAAAGTTCTTAAAGAACTTGCAAGAGAGAACAATCTCACAAAGCAATGTATTAAAGTAAGTTTTGTGTTACAAATGAAATGAAAACGCCTATTTATAGGCTAACAAGGGGTTTGGCCGAATAATTAGATGTTGCTTCAGTAAGGGTAGGTGACTTTACAATGCATTTAATGGTTACTTAGGTGTTGGTTCATGTTGTAGCCTACTCTTGGAGTTTAATGACATGTTTGCTCACATTGTCGCCTATCTTGGTGACTCTTCATTCTTTGGCCGAATAGCCTCCTTGGTGTTCCTCGTGCCTCTTCGTGATTTAAGCATCTTTTGGTTGAAATAACTTTAATGCACATGTCACATCAATGGTGACCTTCCATGGTAGCACCTTTCACGAAAGGTCATGATGTTTGGATGGCATCTCTTTTGAAATGGTATGTTACAAGGTGAGTGATATGATAATGATATGGCCATTGATTCTCCTTGATGTATTAATTCATTTGCCAGCTCCTCGTTAAAAGGCATGACCCATAAAGGCACCTATACGTGAAAAAGAACGATTTGAGAAAAATTGACTTTTCACAAAATTGATGTATTCTGACCTTAGATGATGTATATTGATAGGGAAGCAGTGGAGGGTTAATGAACGTTACTCTTGTTGAATACTCAAACCTAGAAAGCTCTAGACTCGATGAAGAACAATGGGGAATGAATAGGGGAAGGTGGCGGTAACAAGTAGGGTTCTTAGGGTTTCTTTTAGGTGCTGGAAACAATGTAAAGAATAATATTAGAACAATATAAACAAAAGATGAAGAACTTAAAAATAAAGTATGATAATTAAGAAATCAAAATATCTCCCTTGTAAAGGTGGATGACAAAGGTGATTATGGTGAGGAAGGATTTGTGAAAATAGATGGATAATGTTCTATCGAGCCCTCCTAGTCGCAATGAAAAGGAAAACACGATAATATGACTCTAACCAACCCTCCTAGTTACGTTGAAAAGACAAATTGGAGTGTGAAGATTAATCTCCCTCACAAGAACTTGAAAGAACTCTAGGAGAAAAAGCTTCGAAGGAACAAAGCAATCAACACTTGGTAAAATGAACTCTCGTTGTATTGTTAATCAAAGCAATATGTCTTAAAAAGTTGAATGAAGCCTCCTTTATATAGGGATGAGTTCTAAAGGACCTAAATAACTAATGAAGAAAATAATAACAAACTAAACATGTCTTAACTCTAATTCCTAATAAAATAAATGTTTTAACTCAACCTTAATTCATAATAAAATAATAAATATAATATTAAAAGATAATGTATAATCCTATATTAAATTATATTACAAATAATCAATAAAAAAATTGAAAAATTGTAATATTTATAAAATCACGTATTAATCTCGTATAAGAATTTCTGCATGTGCTTTTTCACTAAAATTGACGTATCTTGAGTTCCCGTTATTGGATTGATGTGATTCAAGAGCCGTTGAAAAGCTAAGAGACATGTAGTATTATATCCCGAAGACATATTGACTAAATAAGATCATTATCCCATTCAAAAAGTCATCGTAAATCTGCTGCTAATCTGGTCTTTATTTCCAAGGCTTGATCATTTGGAATAGTTATTACTTCTTCCTTTGATGTGAGCTTTGTGATGAATTTATCATACTCCCTTTATTCAAAAATATTCAACCTCGAATCTAAAACATTAAAGGGAGAAACATTATAATCATTTAATGATTCATTCACATTATGCTTATCGAATAGATAATCTTTGAATATTTGAGATTTTGTTCTTCTAATAGGTTCAAGTAGAAACATTAGTCCAAAGAAGCATGTATTATCATTATGGACTCTAGTGTATGTATCATTCCCTTAGTCCTCAAAAGGATTCGTCCTCGAATCTGAAAATCCAAGAAAAAGATAATTAGGTGTGTTGAAAGGAAAACTTGTGAAACATTTACCAGGATCAATGTGATTTGTCTTTATGAATTTTAGTCGAGGTTTATTCTTTGTATAAATTGATTTCTTGTAGTCTTGAAATCCTCTTTTGCATAAAAGTATTGTAATCAGATGTTTAGGTTGATATTCAACATGGCGCTGGCTATTGTTGGCTTTCTTTATGATTGCTTTAGATATCCTCTCCATGGTTTGACTCATGTGTGGGGAGAATGAGTGTTGAAAAACCATGTCAACTGGTTTGTTAAAGTAATCCATTAGTCTCCAAAGTATGGTTCATGAATTAAATAGTCTTGGGAAGAGATTTATGGATTTCAAAACCTTCGTGGTAGTGCATCGTCTGCTCTGTTTTGCTTACCTCTGTCTTTGGACTCCTATAAATTGTGACTCTTTATTTATATGGCATATTGATAGGTAGTTCAGGCGGTAACCTGTTAGGAGGGTACCTAGCACCATTTGATAACTCTTGGTGATGAAAGAAGGTGTGGGTTAGTCTCGTGATGCTTTCACTTTTTCATCATTTACTTGGATTCTCTGTGAATGAACTATAAAGCCTGTGGTATTGTTCAAATCATGTTTTGTCATTAAGATGGCGTCACGAATAAGGGTCTCGTAGATGTAGCATTTTAATAAATAACTCTTTGGTTATTCGAGATTGTATGTTTGACGAGGTATGATGGAACCTTGAATTAGATTGGTTAGGTGTTGTTTTCCCCTTTCCGGTGGTAATCTGTCAGGTGGATCACCTAACACTTCTCAAAAATCCTGTAAAAGATATGAAAACACACTAGGAAAATCCTTATTAATGTTAGGAATTGAAACAAGTGATTCCCTAGAGTGAACAATATCAACTATCACTCCCTAAAAATTAGACAAGATTCATAATGTTTTCCATGTCTCAATGCTTCAGAAGTACCGATTAGATCCAACTCACATTCTTGAACCGGAAGAAGTTGAATTAATCCCTAGATATATCCTATGAAGAATAACCAATTCAAAACCTTAAAAGAGAAGTCAAGCAACTTCAAAATATCACCGATCATTTGGTGAAAGTCTTGTGGACAAATCATAAGATTAAATAAAAGACTGGGGAACCCGAGGATACAATGAAAAAGCATTATCCTCACCTGTTTAATCAATGTAAGAATTCGAGGACGGATTCTTTTTTAAGGGGAAGAGGATTTCAATTAAAGGAATAAAATAAAGATCTAATTGAATTGAAATTTTAAAGTAATTGAATTGGAAAAAGGACCCAATTGAATTGCCTTGGATAACCACCAAGTAGAATTAGAATTTGAATTAGTTGAATTAAACAAGGACCTAGTCGAAATGATTGATGAACTGCTAACAAAAATTGAGCGATCCAATTGATATAAGTAACAAATAATAAGATTGCATGTTGAAAACATGAATTCCTAAATTTACCCATGAATAATTGGTTACCTAAATTTAGTTGAGACTTTATGATGCAAGCACGTTTTCACCTACAAAGGGAGTACTCTTGAACATCTTTATATTGAATTTACTTTATATTAGTTATATATTATATGCTTTT